CGGAGGTCCCGCGTGGAGCCGCCGCCACCGCCGCCGGGGAGGAGGAAGAAGATGAAGGACAAACAGAAGAGGAAGAAGGAGCGCACGTGGGCCGAGGCCGCGCGCCTGGTGAGGCGGGCCACCGGGGGGACTCCGCGGGGGGCCTCCGCGGGGGGCATGGGGGTGGCTTGCCGTGCACCCCCACGCCAGGAGGGGGGAGGGGCGAAAGCCCTGCTCACCGCAGGGGAGGCGGGGCCGTCCTTCCTCCTGCAACTGGACAAGCCCCCTAAGGCGTTGGGTGGGGAGCGGTCGCCTTCGGGATAGCAAGTGGCGCCTTTTTCTGCACGCACCCCCGCCCCCAAATTCCTGCGGAGGGGCGCGCTGACGGGCCGGCTCCTCCCCCTCCGGCGACGGGGCCCCAACCTCCCCTCCCCCACTATTTGGCAGCGTCTGGGGGTCTGGGGAAGCTTGGTTTTTTGCTCTCGGGGGAGTTAGGTTTCCGGGAAGGGTCGGAAGCTCCTCCCCCCTCGCTTCCTGGTGAGCTGTGGGGTGGGGAGTTTGGCTCTGGGGTGGGAACGCGCCCCCCAGTTTCAAGGACGCGTGTGGCGTTTGGAGCTCCTCTAGTTTATTCCAGGTGTGAGGAGGGAAGCGAGTGTTTATTCCCTCTTGAACCCTGGGCTGTGGCTCTCAAACTTGATGCTATGGTGGGGACACCTGGGGAGGCGCTCGAGGAAGCCTCGTGCTCGGGCGCTACTTAAGATCTGCCCAGCCTAGCATCCCGGAGGTCCGAGAATCACTTTAACCTGCTTCCCGGGGTGCTTCTAACGCAGGTGGCCCACGGGCCACAGTTTGAGAAACACGGACGGGTGTTTCCCTCGTGAGTTAGACTTGAGCTAGGCTGATTGCACTTCGCAGAGTGCACGTCTGTAGCGTCTGTTTCTTGGTGTCTGGTCGTTTGTACACATGAAGTGTTGGACAAAGACCAAGCGTCTTTGGAGGACTTAGCACAGTAGAAAATAATATAATAAAGAGTATTTGATGCTGCTGTGTGAGGGGGATTTTGAATTTTCTGTTTTCAGAGTGTCAGGACTTGTAAGCCAGTATCTTCCTTTTGGGTATGCAGCTACCCACAAAGCTGAGATACTTGAGGCATGTTCATGTGCAATTTTGTGGGTGACAATAGTAACAGGTTGTACTTCTCCCAGAGATGTCACTTTCTCAGAACTGTCACATCAGGGTTGTAGTGCAGAGAGCATGCTTTCTCCTGACACCCTGTATTTTATATGTAATTGCTATAATTCGTTTTAAACGGTGAATGAAAACTCGAATCTGCCAATCTTTTGTTTTACTGGGAAGTAAGGCACCTAATGAAACGTGCAAAAATATGTGGATGTATGTTGGGGATTGCAGCAGATGTGTTGTAAACCTTGTCTCACAACCTGTAAAATTCAGATGGTTTATAAGAAACTGGTTGCTATAGGAGAATTTTTACTGGTTTTCTTTCTTGAGCATTGTGTGGTGAAGTTTTGGGCTTCATTTTTGAAGCGCCCAAATACTTTCTTCGGTCAAAATTAAATATGTGTTGGCCAGCTTAGACTCTTGAAAACTTTAGGCGTTTTTCAATGTTATTTTACCTGGAAACGAATTTAGTTTTGAAGGAGAGTAGGGAATATCCTAAAGTATGTGCTCTTCTCAAGATTGAGTCTTAGGTATCACTGAAATTCTCTTCTGAGTTTCTCTTAGCCAGGTGTTTATGACTCTAGGCACTAAAAGGAAATTTGCTTGCCAGAGTTTTACTTGTTAGAAGAGGTAGAAGTACAGTACTTTTAATCATGTGAGGCTTTTTTTTTTTTTTTTAATATCCTGACAACTCTAGAGTCTTTTTGGCTCTTAGTAGTCTAGAGACTTGAGGAATTTGGGGTTTGCTTTTCTATTAAGTCTCTTTAGGTGCTTACATTTACTATGACATGAATGCAACTGTCCAGATTTTACTTGTCTACTATCATTGGGTCAACTTCATTCCAGAGTAACAGTAAATTATTTTTTATCTGTGGCACTTCATTTAAAAAATAGTAATATGAATAGAAATTACCTCGTGATTCATTTAACCATGTGGAAGATGATGAGATCGCGATATGTATTTTTCTGTATCTTTTATATTTTTTTGTTTCAGAATTCTCCATCCCTTTGGGTGAGACTGGTTGGTGAACTGAATGAGGGGAACCTTTTTAGAGGCCTTTTCCTATTGGGGGAAAAATGCTGTAACATTTGTGTGTAGGAGAGCTTATTATACTGGACAGAGTTAAACTAGAGTGAGTTCTAGTGGTAGAGCAGTAGGTTAGAACTGACTGCTCTGGACAGGTGATTTGGAATGTTTGCCATGGCAATTAAGTCCACTTGCTTGGGGTCAGTTTCATATTACTTCTGACCTTGCTTAGATTGGTGTCTTGAGTGATAAAGGGGGCTATTTTGATAGAAAAGTAGACTTCTGGTGAATTTTCAGTAGTGTAACATGTCACAGGAGAATGATTTTTGCAGAAGTTAATTAAGTTGTTGAAAAGGTTAGGTATTCTTTCAAATATTATGTTGTATGGTATTTCCTAGATGTCAGAGGTGGACTATAGGGGGAATATCTTCCTGTTTGCTAGGAATGCCTTGGGGAGAAACAGCCTAGGGGATTCCCCTTTAAAATGAGTGCCTTTAAATGGATTCTCCCTGGCTTTGAGAAACTCTTCATTGCATGCACTCTCACTTTGATTCATGACTGACCATTCTTACATCAAACATTTTTTCCCCTTTGAAGTAGAAGAGGTACTTTTTTTTTTAAGTGTGCTCTAGAAAGAGACTAGGAATAGAACACTGCTAAATTGTTCTTAAACTGAAAGCTGGAGCTGTTTTGTTTTTTTTTTTATAGTTTTATTGTTAGTGAATATTTTGTATCTTTTGAAGGGACTTCCCTTTAGAGATATTGTTTCCTCTGCTTTAGACTGGCAAGCTCTCCTGACTACTGTTTAAATAACTGGAAACTGATTTACCAGTTATAGTTCATGAAAATAACAGTTTTACAAAATTTGCCAAATCTTCTCACAATAAATATGTATCAAAGAGATTATGTTTGTGGCATTGAATATTAGTTGCTTGTGCCAGGCTTTATCCTGAGTTTGTTAAAGTCAGTAATGTCTAATTTGGCACCTACTTAGGTTTTCAAATACAAAGATGGGTAAGGTTTGTCTGTAGGGATAGGGAGGGTCTGTAGGGATGGGGAGGGTCCAACCACAATAACAAAATTGTACTTAAATAAATGTGGTCAGAGATGTATAAATGATAGGCAGACACCCTGGTTCCTGCTTATTGTCCAGGCAGAGTTATGAATTGTTCCTCCTTGAACTCTCCAGTGTCCTGCTTTGAAGTTAAATTACAAATGTTGTAGAACTATGAGGAAATTAAAGAGACATTTAAGTCTGCCTGGAAGAAATCAGAGAGGCTTCCTGAAAGAAGGTGCTTTGTGAACTTAATCTTGAAGTGTGAGCTGTAGCAAGAGAGGGGTGGAATGGGGGGGAGTGTGAGAGTGGGAATTGGGTGTAACTATACATAGTTATTGGAACAGAAGGTTTGTGAAGTATCAGTTTGGCAATCAGGTAGAGACAGACTCTATTTTGAGGTGTTTGTAGGCCAGGCCAATGAGCACTTACTTTATGCCTGGCATTGAAGGCACCACTTCCACCACTAATCTGAAAAACCACCACTAATCTGAAAAACAACTAACTGTGAGGGGAAGACAGCAGTATCCTGACTTCACCAGTGAGGGGACCTGCACTTAAGTTGGGTAGTTTAGAAGGCCAAAATTTGAACTACTGTCTGGTTCTAAAGCCTCTGCTTCTCTACTGGTCCAGTGGGTACTGGAAGCGTTAGCTTTTGCTGTGTGTAATAAGGTGGTTTTTGAAGGATTTTAAAATGGGGAAGGATGAGGGCAGCTTTGTTTACTATATAGCCTCTTAGTTTTGTAGAAGTAGGGATTTGGTCTTGTTTACTGATGAATTCCTGGAACTGCCCTTGGCACAAACTTGAGTTTTTCATGTATGTGTGGAATGAAGAATGACAGCAGAATAAGAATGGATTTGAGGAAAGCAGGACTGAATGCAGGGATATTAATGAAGAAGCTTTTGTGTTATGTCAAGTAAGAAACTGGCTGTGGGAACTGGGAATGCTTGAGATTGAAGTGTAATGACTTGGTTTCTGAACTAGATGATTAGATTGGACACCAAAAAATGGTAAGGGATATTAGAAGTATGGGTTTGGAGGGGAGATTAATTTGAGTTACTGATTTAATGAATTAGAATGGAAATGAATTGGAGTAGACAGTTAAGTGGTAAGGTGGGGGAGACATGTTCAGAACTGAAGACTGACCTGTCTAGACCAGAGATCAGGATTTGGGAATTTAGATAGTAGTTGAAACAGAGATAGTAATGATACCCAGGGAGAATATAAAAATTGAAGAGAGGCTAAGAATGATACATGGTAAATAGGGCGTTTATTTCTGCTTTACCAAAACTTAACTCCTTTGGTGCTTTGACTCATGTTCTTTAGAGAGAAACCTCAGCAGTGGTCCTATCAGACTTTTCCCTTTCATTTTATTTGTGACTGGGCAGTAATTGGTTATGGTTTTTTTTTTTTTTTAAAGATTTATTTATTTGTGCATACAGAACGGGGGTACAGGCCAGAGGCTCAGGGGCGGTGAGAGGCTTCACCAGAGACAGAGCGGGGAGCAGAACAGGCAGATCGACGGAGTACACTGCTGAGGGGAGCAGCAGGCCGGTCAGGAGAGGTCTGCCACGCCATGCGGTCACCTCCGGGGCAGGCAGGATCGAACTCATGCGGAAGAGGCTTTAGATTCTCAGTGCTGTGCTTTAACCCGCTGCGCCACCAGGGAGGGCCAGGTTATGGTTTTTAAATAACTGTAAGATGTTAACTGCTTTGGAGTAACTTCAGTGGCTGCAAAGGTAGAGAGATTGACAGCCTGTCTTTTGCTTCTCTTAGAAGGATAACTTTTCTAAAACCATTCAACTTATAGTGGGAGATTTGCAGTTGGTAACTAAGAAATTACTGCTATTACTTAGTTATAGATGATGCTAACATAAATGGGATGTTATGTTGTGTTTCTTACTGTTTTGCTTTTGTCTGTCTCGTAGAATCATAGTATACTGTTCCCAAGCAGCAAAATGTACTGTGGCAGTTATACTAGAATTTCACAATATTCAGGCAGAGTCACTTTAAAATGTGGGTTCTAATCAGACTTCTTGGGAAAGAACATTTAGAATGCATTTCTGCCTTAAAATTTTTGTGTAGCAATGTGTATTCTGTGTTTTTGCCATGTTAACAGCTTCGAGCAGTAACCAGATACCGTATAACATACATGCTAAGGTTTGTTTTTAGAATGGAGAATGAGGTAATTGCAGTACTTCTCCAGCAAATGGCTATACCTGTTTTTTTTTTTAAGATTTTATTTATTCATACAGAACTGGGGTACAGGCCAGAGATGTGGAGGGTGAGAGGATTCACCAGAGACAGAGCAGGGAGCAGAGCAAGCAGATCTATGAAGTACACTGCTGAGGGGAGCAGCGGGCGGGTCAGGAGAGGTCTGCCGGGCCATGTGGATCTCCTCCGGGGCAGGCAGGGATCAAACTCATGCGGAAATGGCTTTCGATTCTTAGTGCTGTGCTTTAACCCGCTGCGCCACCAGGGAGGGCCCTTGATGGAATCTTAACAATGAAAAAATGAAATTGTCAGCAGTGGCACCTCATAACAGAACTAACTGTAGGCCATGACATAGATTGATGGATATAAATAGAAATTGCACACTGAAATCAGAACGTTTATATTTCTTCAGGTATTAGAAAACTACTCAGATGCTCCAATGACACCAAAACAGATTCTGCAGGTCATAGAGGCAGAAGGACTAAAAGAAATGAGGTTTGTATTTCTTCTTGCTGCTTAATAGAGTTTCAAAGGATTTATGTTTTGTAGTCATGTCAGTAAATCCACATATATACATGTTTGGTGGTAGTATGGCGGCATTATCTCCCCAGGTTGTGTGTCCTCTGAGCAGAAGGTTAGAGTTGGGGGCATCAGTTTCTTTTTGTTAGAAATGCAGCAGCTTTTCCTGTCCTGGTTTTCCTTAAATTTTTGGCATGGCCTTGTTTTTTTGTGTAAGGAGTCTTTTTGTACTCTGTTTTTTACGAGTTTTAATTATAGAGAATCTGATAGGTTCAGTTGTGTCTAAAACTGCTATATCTTAGTCCTTTAATTTAGTATCAAAGAAAGGGAGTCTCATCACTCTCATCACTGTAAAACTTCTATCCCCCACCCCCTCTGATTCTAGTAATTCATAATATAAATATTCTAATTTTGGGGTGATCTTGTTTTTCTCATCCTATGATGCAGTTTGCTTAGAAGCAACACGTTGTAAACATAAAAGAAATAGTAGACATGAAAACCAGTGACTCCTTAATCCATTTCTGTCATCCTTATCCCAAACCTTTTCTTAAACCGTTCCTTTATTTTTAATGTAAATGATGAAGAGAGCACAAAACATTTCCTTAGAACTCATAACCAATAACATATGTTTTTGCCTGGAAAACTTTAGGAACTTAATTTAAAATTGACCTTTTTGAGTCAAAAGAGTCTCATGTTTTAGATCTCAGTTCAGATGTTCTGTTGACAATTTGTGGGGAGGGATAATCAGGATTGTTAGATCACATTGATTTAAATAGTACCTTTGTGCTGTGCAGTGTTAAAATTGTGCTTTATTTTTGTTTTTCTGGGCTACTTCCCGTCCTGCTGCTGTCTGCACTGCTGTTGGATCACTATTCCTATAGAAGGTAAATTAGTTCCTTTGGGACAGATGGAATTGAAAACCTTAACTGTTTCCGCTTCTAGCTCTTACAGGAATTATGAAGCAGTCATGGTAGCTTGTCATGAGTGAGCAGCTGTGTAATTTGTAGACCGAAGTATAGGGTGTAGGAGTCACACTTCGCAGAAGGACTCTGCCAGCATGCTGTTCCTCCTTGTAGCAGAGATGTTAGCACACCCACATGATACTCCAGATTCTGCACAAGGTTTCTTTTAGAGATTGGTTCTTGGCGAAAATTTTTTTTAGCATTCAGTGTGTTCCAAAGCAGAATAAGTAATAGGTTCTTTTTTTCCCCCAGACTTTTTTAGGCTCAGAATTTATTTTTGACATGCTGCATAAATTAGACCTCTAGTTCTGAAAAATGCTAAGAATTTTCACTTTATATATATTTTTTTAACAAACGGAGAAGGAAAAGATGTACAGGTGAGCACTAGTACTGATGTTAGTGCCAAAGTCAGTATTTTTAATGGCCATTTTTCTATACTTTTTCAGCTTTTCTAAGATTTAGTAGGCAGTCTCTAACAACTGACTTTTCATTGTTTTGTGACCTGTTGTGGGAGGAACATGAAATAATTTAATGTGTTGTATACAAGTTTTTTGGGGGGGGGTTTGAGTGTTATTGGGTACTGAATCCTTTTGACTTTTATATTTAAATTTGAATGATTGCTTCTGGGTAGATATAGAATAAAACCCATCTTTTTTCCCCTTTCTGACAGAAAAAAACAAAATGAAGCACTATTCATTTTGTGTGCTTATTAAAAAATACTTAACTGGGGAGAAAAACGTGTGCTTGTTTTATTGGGACACCACCATTAATTTTGTGGTCTTTGTATTGACATTGTATGTGGCATTTTCTGAGCCTGATACACAGGTTGAAATCTAGAAGATAGGAAATTTCCAGATTTGTTTTTTTTTTTTTTTTTAAAGATTTATTTATTTATTCATACAGAACTGGGGTACAGGCCAGAGGCTCAGGGGCGGCGAGAGGCTTCACCAGAGACAGAGTGGGGAGCAGAACAGGCAGATCGACGAAGTACACTGCTGAGGGGAGCAGTGGGCGGGTCAGGAGAGGTCTGGCTCGCCATGTGGTCTCCTCCGGGGCAGGTGGCAGGCGGGAATCAAACTCATACGGAAGTGGCTTCAGATTCTCAGTGCTGTGCTTTAACCCGCTGCGCCACCAGGGAGGGCCCCAGATTTGTTTTTAATATTTAAATTTTAGTTGAATTTTTATTGAAATATCGGATGCATTTTTTTCAAACCTTGCGTGAACTTGAAAAATCAATGTTAGTTTTATAAACTTCTTTTTCTGTATTTTGGTTTTATAAAGTTCTTGAGAATTTGGTTCACATTTTTTTTTCTTTTTTAAGATTTTATTTGGATAGGCCAGAGGATTCACCAGAGACAGAGTGTGGAGCAGAACAGGCAGATTGACTGAAATACACTGCTGAAGGGAGCAGTGGCGAGATAGGAGAGGTCTGCAGTGCTGTGTGGGTCAACTCCCTGCTGGAGGTTGAACTCAGTCCATTGCGGCAAAAGCTCTAAGACAGTCCTGGGCCACCAGTGAGGCCCCTGTTCACATTTTCAAAGACCACTAAGGAAGTGTTGGGTGTGGAGCAGATTTTATCAGGGTGCTCTGGGTGTCAACTTTGGTTATTCTTTTGTTACTTTCATAATGAAATTGGTATGGGTCTTTTTCTTTGTGTTTCTTGCTCTGGTTCTTGATTTAAGAATAAATTGGGTGGTATTAGATTTTTGAGCTATTAGACATATGCATTTGTATGACTTTCATCCATCTTTGTATGTTTTCACAGTGGAACATCCCCTCTTGCGTGTCTCAATGCCATGCTACATTCCAATTCAAGAGGAGGAGAGAGCCTGTTTTATAAACTGCCTGGCCGAATCAGTCTTTTCACTCTAAAGGTGAGTAATATACTTTTATTGTAATAATTCTTAAACCTTTAGGGTATGTGAAAAGTACCTGCTGTATCTGGATGAGGTCTATGAATTTTGTGTTTCTTATAAGTAGTCAGGTGATGCTGATGCTATTGGTCCTAATAGCACTTTTCTAGTGTGAATCAAGTTTTAGGAGTTATTTTGTCATATTAGCTAATGGCTTTATATTCAGCTTTTGCTAGTCTGTCTTTGCAGATTGTAAGTATGTGTGAGGTAATTGCATAGGTCTCTTAATTAGAATTTTGTTTGTAATAATTACTGGGCAGCTAAAGTAAGATTTGCTCATTGGAAAATAACTGAAATATGAATATACTTGTGAAATATAATAACTAATAAACATTTTTGATGTATTTTTAATTTAATTTTTATTTTTTTAAATTTTAAAATAGTTTTTTTTTTTTTACATATTTTTGTGCATTTTTCCATCTCAGTTGCAATGACCTTGGGTTTTCCATCACCAAATCACCCATGTGCCATTACTGTAGTCCAGTGCATTTTCCTCCCCCCCCCCACTGTTTTTGATCCCATTCCCCATTCCACCCCCACAAAATGTTCATCATTATCATTATTTTCTCGCCTGGTGTATTATATAACTGCTATGAGAGAAACCATCCCGTATTTTTCCTTTTTTTTCTGGCTTCACTAAGCATGATCTTTTCCAATTCCATCCATGTTATTGCAAAAGACATGTGTTTCTTTTTTGGTTGCTGAGTAATATTCCATTGTGTATATGTACCACATCTTTTTAATCCAGTCATCCATTTTTGGGCATTTGGGTTGTTTCTATGTCTTTTCCAATTGTGAATAAAGCAGCAATAAACATGAGGGTGCAGGTATCTTTTTGAGTCAGTGTTTTGTGTCTTTTGGGTAGATACCTAGGAATGGGATTGCAGAGTCGTAGGGAAGCTCCATGTTGAGTCTGCTGTAAGCATGGAGATTTTCTTTTAGTCTGCAACACGTGTCTGAGAGCCATCAACTGAAGATGGTGTTCAGTTTGTCATCTCATCTCCCTCTGGCTTTATGTTGGTTATCAGTTATGTGTCAGCAGGCATCTCCTCTCTAATACTCTTGTGTTCTTTTTGGGTTAATGGTTTGCTTGTCTGATTTCCCCACTTAGATTTGGGGGCACAGATAGACTATGTGTTACTCATTTCATTATTGACTTGACTATCATACAAAGCAGACATCAGTAAGTGCATGCTTAGTAAGTGAATTAGTGTATGATGACTGCAATCTGGTCCTTTATTAGTATCCTTTTTTGTTTTGACATTTGCTGATAAATAGTGCTCATAATCTTGATGAAACTTGCTACATCTGCCTCTGGCATCTAGCTCATTCATATCTCAGCCAAAATGAAGAGTACTTACTCCTCTGCTTTTGTAGAATTTTATCTTGGTTATTTATTTGTGTGTATATCTTAACATTTTGACCTGTTAACGTAAGCAATATGTGAAAATCCAGTGGAAAGGAAGGGGGAAGTAGTAGTACATAAATTTTGCCACTTTAACTCAAACAAAAATTTATATTGCTAATATTTGAAAAAATATTTATGGTTTTGATGTTTGCTTTATTTAGTAACTGTTTGCCATGATGATACATACAAAAATACATGAGTATATTTTAAAAGATTAATGTGTAGTATTCTAGAATTCAGGTTATGAATGTGTGATAATTTTAAGTCTCTTGTTAAATGCCTAATTGCTAACAGACTAGCTTCTAGAAGTTGTACAGGCATTCATTTATTGCTATTCAGAAATGGGTAAGAAAGAATGCAAAAAAAAAAAAAAACCCAACCGATTACCATCCTGATCACCACCTGTGAATCCAGATCTGCTCAGTGAACACTTGTGTCGAAGGTGGTATTAAATACATTTTTTTATTTTGAAAAAATTTAAAACCTACAGAAAAATTGAGGTTTTTTTTTATAATTTTAAAAGATTTTATAAGTTTATTTTTACATCATTTTGTACATTTTTTTTTCCATCTCAATTGTAATCCCTGCGGGTTTCCCATCACCATGTCACCCGTGTGCCATCACCATAATCCCGTGCAATTCCTTCCCCACCCCCCCGTTTTTGATCCCATTCCCCACTCCACTCCCGCAAAATGTCTCTGGTATATGGTTGTTCATTATTAGAAAAATTGAGTTTTACAGTGATTTCTTTCATAGGTCTAGCTTTTTTACTGTTACAAGTTTACCCCCATTTATTTTATACCTTCTGTACCTGTATAACTATTACAAACATGGTCCATCAACTCTAAATAGCTTAGAGTGTATTTTTAAAAAAGATTTATTTATTTATGCATACATACATGCAAGGGCGGTGAGAAGAAGATTCACCAGAGACAAAGCAGGGAGCAGAACAGGCCGACTGACGAAATAACACTGCTGAGGGGAGCAGCGGGCGGGTCAGGAGAGGTCTGCTGCACCACCATGTGATCACCTCCTGGGCAGGGATCGAACTCATGGTCAAGTGTCTTAGCTTCTTAGTGGTGTGCTTTAACCCACTCTTCCACCAGAGGGCTCAGAATGTATTTTTTATTACAATAGTTTATTTTTACATCATTTTGTGCCCTTTCCCA